ATTATTTTCTTTAAAAAAAATATAAATATATATATTATTTTGCATATGTATATACCTCGTTAACAAACTCTAAGTTAATAATATTTTTGTCAAGTCTTTTAAGTGCAACTTTATAAGATTTTCTTCTGACATACTGTTGTAAGTCATCGTCCCACAAATCTCTAGGCCCATTCACCCAAGTTGCAACAAACATTGTTCCGAATTCACCTTTTGATAAATACTGAACATCCGAAAATCCTTCATATGGAATCCATTCCCAGAAAGAACATGGTCCATAAGCTTTATGTTGTGTATACTTAATAAGTTTATCGAGATATTCATTACCACTTGTCCATTTTTTCGAAAGTTTTTTAAATCTTTTGGATTCACATTTTCTGCACCAATCTTGTGATGCTTGCTGACCACATTTCGAACACTTTTTCAAATTTGTAATTTCTACATTATATTCTGAGAAATTTGTTTCTTCATGTATTGATCTACTGAAACTACTACGTCGAGATCTACTACTAACAACCGATAGGCGACTGCTTGCAACTGATAGGCGATCGCTGGCGACTGATAGGCGACTAACTGATAGACGACTGCTGGCAACCGATAGGAGGCTTACCGATAGACGACTGCGACTGCTGATTACCGATAGGCGGCTACTGTCGGATTCCGAAGATGACCAACAACCTTTATCATCAATTGGGTTATCTGCGTATAAAAGAACATGTTAAGTTTGGATTGGTGGTATTTACTTATTTATTTCTCTATTATATCTATTTGTTATTAATATTTTACCTTTATTTGAATGCGAAAAGAGTTTAAATGCTTCAAAAACTTTTCTTTTCCAGTTTTTTACCGGCATTTGGAATACTTGTATATATTATAAAATGCTAAAATAATGTGTAAATTACTATATCTATCTATATCATAGAAAACAAAACGAGTTGTTTAGAAGGTTATCGAAGATCTAAATAATTGATCACTTTTTATTACATACCAACCATTCTGTACCGATAAAAACGTTGCAGAATTTTTGAATTTCTCGACCGAATGCATTTTGGTGTCTAGACATATACGCATGTAGTATAACATTGTTTAAATTTCGTGAATCCAACTAATATTGAACTTTATGTTGTGCTAAACAGATCTACCATTTAAGATATACGGTGTAATCATGCTTCTAACTTATTCAGTAAGTTGAAGTGTTCAAAATCTTGTAAATACTTTCAATCCAAATATTGTCTAAATATTTTGACAAACTATTAATAAATAATTAATTAATTTAAATGTTTTTCATTAAAACCGGGAAACAAATGTATAATTTATCGCGACACGTGATATTCCAGTTTATAAACTTTTATCTCAAATTTTATGGTAAGGATTAGACTTTTAAAATTAGGGTCAAGTTTTTAAGTGCTGAATATTTTTACTTAATTACTTAATACATACGTCAATTATCTATGCCATTTTGCAAAATGGCATTGATCTAGTGATATATAATAACAAGCTGCGATTTGTAATAAACCGAGATGAAAAACATTTGGGTTATGGCCTAAAAAAATCGCCGAGATTTTCCTAGTCCATTATTTACGGGCCCGAACTCGGATCCAAAAAAAACCAAAAGGGTGAGGCCCTGTACTTAAGAGGATTGATTTCAATAGTATTTACGGTCCAGTTCTGTCTGGCCTCAGTTCCTTTAGAACCTGTCACAGGCCGGTTCTGGACCGGATTGACGCAACTACGCATTAGCTTTATACCGCAGATCACTTAGAGATGTTGCGCTTAGAGATGTGCCACTTTAAATTCCAAAATTTAGAAATTTTCTGTGCCCCTGACATATGGGTCAGTGCACAGCCAAAAGAACTTAAAGACAATTCGTATATAAATATCAACGTTTGATCATTTTGATATGAATTTGATCTTTGCGAAAAGTTAGAAAATTAACTTTTAATTCATTAACTGCGTATAAAATTGTATCAAATTATAATATGTTAATACGTATTAAAATTTTTATCATAAATGGAGAACGCACTTAAAGATATAACCAACTAAAATCTCAATTTTGATCAGAATCCCTTTTTGCTGTGTACTGACAATAAATTGTTTATTAATGAGTCTGGGCACTATCATGTCCGATATAATAATGGTCAACGAATACGTATTAATTTTTTGTGGATGTTGTGAAAACTGAATTTAAGTGAATTTGAGACTTCTTAATATTTTAGAGTTAGGGTATGAATCTATATAATTCTAATAAATTTGGGTTAACATATGAATAATACAACTGGCTCCAAATTCTATATCAAACCTGTTAATCTTAAATTTACATTCACAAGCCGTCTGTCCTACTCATACAAAATGCTGTGTATTAACCTAGTTGGTAAACTTAGATACAGTATCACAGCAGAGTTGATTCACAGGCGAGCTGAAGAACATTTGTAAACTTAAAAGATATTATATAGATAACCTTGTAACCTTTTAACTGCTTGTTTAAAATTACATTCGTTTAAAAAAGTTTCGAGGTAACATTTTGATAAGTTCAAAATCCATATAATTTGTTACAGCACGTATTTCACGCATGTTTCACGCATGTTCATACAATATCAAAGGTAGTTTAATAAATACAAAAACACTTTATTGGATAATAGACCGATTTTTTAATGTACAAAACAAATACATTTATAAGGTGACCGCATCGGTATACAATAAAGTACCGTTACAAACGTGCCCTGTCCCATATACTGTATAAACCCCCATATCGTACTATATTTTACATTGTTCAGTAATATGTAATTGACCTCAATTTTTCGGTATCAATCGTAAGAGATAAATTTGATCTTCGTAACGAAATATTCATAGGTTTAGAAGGTGCACTTAATGTCCTAGTTTTCATCTTGCTACTAGTAATTACGGGATTTCCCAAAGTGGACGTATCGGTATTACTCTTCGCCTTTTCCATAGGAACAGATGATAAATTATTGCGATTATTTAAACGTGCCGAAATTTTAATTTCATTTACTCTATTAAGTAATTCTCTACCGGTATTAACATCCTTTTTC